CTGTGGTGACAGCAGATGTTAAGGAGTCGCCATGGTTACCACCACCAAGCAACAATGTTGAACTGAGAATGCTTGGCTGTGTTAAAGACTGAAAGGAATCCCGAGGTGCTCACATATGTAGACATTTAAACACGGACACAATTAACACACACCCACAAAATGTTGTTATCCAATTGGATTTAGTCCTTAATGAGTCATTAAGAGATTCTTATATGGAGCAGAAATGATCCATCATCAGATTAGCCGTGTCACACAAGGGACCATGTGATTAGGCCATGGAAATGTCTCTGTCGCCTCTTTTCTAAAGCACTGCTGGGCATCTTAATTTAGTGGGCTGTGAAGTGCAGTGAAACACTAAGTAACACAGAGGGAAGTTGCGAGGGGGGACACAACAGGGGGACGCACTCAACTGTAGGCAAAAAACAACAGTTTGATTCTGCACTTGTGCGAATTTCTACTTGCTATGAATGTGACTTTCTAAATTTCTTATGTGCTCAGTTCTGAAGGCCTATTGTTCAGTTTTGTGAGTGCCTTGATGTGCATGTGTGGCTGCATGGGCAAAAAGGAGGGTAAAGAGGGTGTTTGCCCTTCTAACTCTGCCCCCAGTGCGAGCCCCTTCATCCTCCCCTTGTTGTCATGCACAGCCGCTCTCTCTTTGGCACAAAGTAGGCTGGCAGCACAAGAGCCATGTGTTTTAGCTCCACGCTTTGATGGGTTCAAAAAACTTTTCAGAACTGTTTCTGAGTAACGCCGTGTAACGGGAAAGAAAGAGAGGAAAAGAGGAGGAGAGTGGGGGTGCAAGAGGCTGCAAGTTGCGAGGGAGAGAGATGGGGAGCAGAAGGAGCTTCGAGCAAAGACAAACTGTCTTCTTTGTGGTTATATGATTCCAGTTCTTGAAGGATACATTTCCTGGAAAATAACTGGGAAGACTTTGCGAGACAAACAACAGTAGGTGAGTTCAGACAAGCAAAAAAGAAGCAGTGGAATGTAGAGTAAGTTCTCTTGGCTTGAACCGACAGAAACAAGGGGAGGGGTGTGGGGTGTTTTTGTTACACTGCATGATTAGTAGCCTAATGGCATACTTTCTCTTTATTTAATGTGATTTTAATTGATTTTCCCCTGAAAGCCCCGATCTGAGAGCTCCGATTGCCATCATCACTTTTTACAATTACTGGACCTCTTGTTGAAAGGAACGATCGTAAAGAGAAACATGATGAGAAGACGAAGAGCTTGTCCTTGTTTGGAATGTGATATTGTTTTTGTTTTTTCATTCTTTCCCACAGGGTGTTTTCTTCACTCCATACTTTTCATCCTGCTACTGAAGCAAGCCACCAGCCACTTTAACAATGCAGCGCGAAGAGCTGTCGGCCAGAGAGGAGTTCACCTACACCCACATGCCCACTCTGGGGAGAGGAAATGGGACACTGGGACGACGGGGTGACCGGGGAGCTGAGAGAAGGCCAGACCGAGGGGAGCGGGATAGGTCTGAACGGGACAGCTACACAGTGGACGTGAGGGCCAGTGACCTGCAGCTGGCCCAGCCGGAGCCCCTAAAGCACCCCTGCTTCAGCTACAGGGCCTGGCTCTACAGTGTCCTCATAGGGGTGAGAGGAAAGACAGTCAGGGGAAGCAACGGAAGCACACTACAGGATTTTTCTATTTAGTCCATAACACACAGATTTAAAGTTTGGGGTGATTCCTTTTTTTGAGTAGCCCCAATCTTGAAATTTTGAGTGAGAAGTGGCAACAAGAAATCCTGTTTTGTGCTTCCACAAGGAAAGAACACCATGATGGGGTTGTTTCAATAATTAAAATGTTAGCAGATCAATTTTGGGCATGTGTATTGTGTTACACTATTTAGACAAAAATATTGGACCGCCTAAAAGCTCTTTTAGGACATCCCATTCTAAATCTGTAGGCATTTTAAGGACTTTGTGCCCCTCCTTTAGCAACTATAATACCTTCCACTCTTCTGAGAAGCCTTTTACATAGAAAATCTGGCTGTGGAAATTTTTGCCCATTCATCCAAAAGATCATTTAGGTTGGACACTAATGCTGGAATAGATGACCTGGCTGAAAATCTCCCTTATAGTTCTTCCCAAAGGTATTCTGTGGGGTTGAGGTAAGGCCAGTCACGTTCTTCCACAGCAAGCTCACCTAGCCAGCCCTTACTTTGTGCACTGAAGCACAGTCATGCTGGAACATAAAAGGGTCTTTCCCATGAAGTTAGATGCGCATAATTGTCATGGTAAGCATCAAGACTTCTCTGCACTGGAACTGGAAGGGAGCCAAAGCCCAACCCCATATTATTATTGAGTTCAGTGATTAAGAGATGTGGCCCAATACTCTTGTGCACATAGTGTAAGTGTGAGCAGACACACCCAGCTCAATGCAAGGATCAACGCGGGGAAATTTTGAAAGTTTTGCAGTGTGTAAGTTGCTGCACATTGGAAGAAGCTGAACTATACAGACACTACCCTAGATAGAAATGAAGTTTGGTTAACTAAAAGTAGTCTCCAATACTTTGTAAAATGAAAAAGATCATGCTGACTACACAAATGTATATGATAAAATCTAATATATACTTGTAAACGCTACATGCCAGAAAATTGTTGCTCAAACTAAAACCAAATTGTGTTTATTGCAAAAAAAAAAAAACGTACCCACTTTGTCGCAGATCATACTAGAAACAAGAGTCTTGGTGGGGCTGTTGCACCAGGCAGGATTATGCAGTTGGCTTAGTTACTTCTCAAATGGCTCGTGTGTATGAGAGAGGAATTCTTGCACAGTTTTACCTGCTGAATGCATTTATGACCCTTTTAATTGTGTATACATGGCTGTATGTGTGTGTGCGTCGGTGTGTCCTCAGGGCTGTCTGCTCATCACATCTGGTTTCTCTCTGTACTTGGGAAATGTGTTTCCTGTTGCCATGGACTACCTGCGCTGTGCTGCGGGCTCTGTAAGTGACCATCACAGTTACTTTAATCACATGCTGATATTGCTTTGAAAGCTAGCATACCTTGCTGCATCTTTCACACTCTTTATACAGGAGTCATGTCAAAAATGGCAGTAATGGTCTTCATAGATAAATACAGCAGCTCCTTTTTGTTGGTATTCTTCACAGGGCATCCCTGCAGCAATAGCTAGTTTTGCTATTGCCAAGAACAGACACGTTGCAGTGAGTAAACAATGAACTCATCAAAGGCTAAACAGATAATTATGTCTTAATGGTTTTTAATTGAAGCTTTTACCGAAGCACGATACTAATTAGACTCTCATGTTTCCTTTAAGGTGTCAGATTTTCAAGTGGTCTATGTGTCAACATTTGCTGTGACGACCACATGCCTGGTTTGGTTTGGTTGTAAGCTGGTCTTGAACCCCTCAGCTGTCAATGTAAATCCATCTGAATCGAAAACTACATGTCCTTTTGGATGCACAAGCACAAACATTTTGAGTTATTCTTTTATATTTTGTTTTCTCTTTTAGCAGTTGCGTCTCTGTTCTCGCCCCCTAACATGTTCTGTCTGTTCTCAGATTAACTTCAACCTTATCCTGATGATCTTGTTGGAGGTGTTGATGGCCAGCACTGTCATCCTGTCAGCCCGCTCTGCAGAGGACTGCTGCTGCCACAGGAAGGTGTGTGAGTGTATGCATGTCTACATGAGCGATTTTTTTGTTTATTTGTTTGTTTTTGTTCCCTTTCATTCTTTCATCCTAAACAATTTTCATTTTTCTATCCATCCTCCAGTCGGGGTCATACGACAGGCCTGTGATTATCAAACCTGCAGTCTTCCCCACTCGGCTCCTTAAAGCATATTCTGTGAGTAAACTTGCATATAAATAAGTATAACTATATAACCTATATATGTATATGTTTTTCTTTTAATCCATAACTGATGTCTGCAACAGGTAATTGAAGTGATTGTAGGAATCTCGGCTGTATTTGGAGGCATTATTGCGCTCAACATGGACGCTTTGTTGCCTGGTCCCTACTTGTCTGTTACATTTTTCTGGATCCTTGTGGCTGTAAGTTGGCTTAATAAAGCTTACTGTTTTTTAAGGCACTTGTGGCCACTCAGAATGATAAGGTATGTTTAAAATGACTGACGAGCAACTCAATCGCATAACATTACCTGTTATTCTTTGCAGTGTTTCCCCAGTGCTATTGCCAGTCATGTTGTGTCAGAATACCCTAACAAATGCCTGGTGAGTACAATAATCTGATATCTGCAGGATCTGTGAGATTAGTACAGTGTAAAGCTGTTATACCATGGAGTTGGTTTTAAACTTGAAATTCATATACTTCAGTGTTTTATGACTTTGTTTTCAATCTAAACTTTTTCCTCCTGTATTTGCAATCACGTGGGTGCAAAATGTCATTGGAGCAGGTATAATTTCATCTAAATACCACATCTATTTCTTCTTTCTACTGGCTTTTTGTGTTCTTTTTTCCGCCTTTCTTCTTTCTGCTCTCAACCCTGTATCTCTCAGGTGGAGGTGTTGATTGCCATCAGCAGCGTGACGTCTCCTCTGCTCTTTTCAGCCTCTGGATTCCTCTCTTGCAGTGTGATCAGCTTTATTGAAATATTCCTGCATGATGTGCCTACAGCCAAAGTGAGGCTAAAGTGAAGTGAAAATATATGGTTGTGTTTGTATTTTCAAGAGTTATCCACTTAGCTCTGGTGTCATTAAAAACAAAAATACAGGAGCTGGGGAAGTAAATCATGAGAAATTACTTTTAAAACTACACCAATTTCACATATATGTGCTTGTCTCTCTTTGTATCCCAGCAATCCTATGACATATTGCTGCTGATTCTGATGGTGCTGCTGCTGGTGCAGGCAATTCTTACTTCAGCCACTGTGGTGCACTGTGCCACCTACAAAAGTCAGCTTCGCATGGGAGCTCCAGAGTGTGATGACAACATTCAGACCCAGATGCATTACTGTGAGGTATGCCAGGTAAACACACCCATATGTGCAAATCCTGCTCTTGTCTATATCACTACTTACAACAACAGACATTTACTGATGAGTTTAGCATCAAGGTATACCACATGTAAATGCATATGTATCAATTAATGAACTACATGCAAAAATAGCACAGTACCACTCATGCTCAACACCTGATTCCTCTGAATATTTTCTTTCCTTTTCATCCTCCACAGCAGCAAACATCAAATGGAGCATTGCAGGATTTTGACAAAGACAGAGCTTGGAAGGCAGTTGTGGTCCAAATGGCTCAATGAAGAGAGCATCCAGGAATTTGGAGAGACCTGGTGATAGAAGAAGGGTAAAACAAGCGCTATAAGCTGCAAATACAAGAGTATAATCAGAAGACAGAGAATATTGGAGCAAGAGGGAAAAGCAGTATTGGAAAGACACGGAAAACTGGAGACTGGAATAAAGAACAAAATACACAAAAATGAAGCAAAGATAGGAGGAAAAAAATTGAAACCGTGTACTTTGTTTTGCTTTTGTTAGTGTTTTTTTCTTACATAGATAATGCTTTTATGTGTGTTTTCCATATTGGTACCACTGTGGTATTTTTTGTGGTCAGGAGATTTAATGCATTTTTACACTGTATGCTAGTTGCATTGAAAATATGCGAGTCAATGACAAGTAATAGAAAATATCCCTAGCACAAAATTGAAACAGTTCTTTATATATCCTAATAATTTGAAACAGTTTTCTGCCCGTTCACATGTTGGTGACTAATCATGGTGGAAGATGCAACAGATGCAAAAACTAATGAAGTGTATTTAAATTCATGGCAAAGTCTAACTCAGTAGCCAGGTTCCTTGTGTGGTAGTTTTTACAGGAGAACTGCTTTAATATAGCCGATGTGCAGCAGTATCAACTGATGTAAATGATACTAACTGAAAGTATGCCTTGTGCAAAATAAAATGGCATCAGCACTAAGTATGTCAAGAGTAAATTTGTGTACGTGTTGAATGTTTTTTATGAATGGGAAATGGGTTTTTTCTGTGCTGGGAAAACCAAGAAGAAGAAAAAAGTCTTCATCTGAAAATAACTTTCATGGAAATGTTGTTCACATATTATCTTATAATTTGATACCAAGCTGTGAGGTGGAATTTATGTGTGTATCGGTTTAATTGCAATAACTTCAGCACCCCTGTGTTTGCATTTGGACATACATAAAAATTGCCTTCTCATATTGTTATATTTATTAACTTCATTTCCTTCCTTTATCAATTTTCCCGCATCCCTCTGCTCCTGTGTCTGTCTCTGAGCTAGACACCTCACATCTCTTACTCATATTAAAACTATAAAGGAGGAGGAAATGGGGTGGTCACTATAACGATGTCTGGTCAGTTTTGGCTTGTCAAATATGAATATAATTCTCATCACATCAGGTCATTATTATTATAATTATTATTATTATTATTACTTAAACCGCCACAACAAGACGCTTTATCATACTGCAACATGACCAAGAAGAGAGTGAGAGATGGCAGACGGTGAGGTAAGGATACCCTAACCGGTGGAAACCGGCTTGAGTTAAAAGTGTCTGAGACAAAGAGGAGAGAGCATCGATGAAACTGTCCTTGTACAGGAGTGTTGTGCTCTGCAGCAGAAAGTTCATCCGTGACATTCAGCGTGATCAAAAGCAATATATTTCAGTGCACTAAGCATTTTGTGTCGTTTTCCTTTAAGTACTTCTTGAAATTATGGCCTACATAATTTAGTAATAGATGACTAGTTGATGTCCAAAAAAAGCAAAAATGCTCGCCACACCCAGTGAGTTTGAATGACAGACATCTTTCCCATTCCCTGTTTGCGTGTCTCTGTGGCAGTCCCACAGTCACAGATGATGGGCAGGTGGGATAAACCAATATCAGTGGGAAACAAAAGCCTGTCAGTGCCTTGTGGTTTGGTTGTAGACTAAGCTAATGTGGGCTTTGAGTAGACTAATAGCCGGTGTTTGTTTCACTTAGCCTATACTAAAGGCTTCAGTGACAAGTCTTAGCCTTTAAATATAGTAATACTAATAACATTTCGAAGGACTGCTTATTTATATTTAATAGAAGGTTATCTTTTAGAGCCTGTCATATCCAAGAATCCTAAAATCCATAGATCTGTGTCTATAAGAGGCAGTTTCACAGGTAAACCTTTCAAAATAAATATAATCCGGATATGGATTGGGATATGTTTTTAGCATCTTAGCTCGCCTTTCTGTCTGAAATGCGCACTTAATCCTGCGATTCAAAGAGAGGGGATGTGTTGAACTACAGAATCTTAATGTGTTTCTCATCTCTTGTTTCTGAGGAAGAAGCAGGGCGGGGAGGGGAGGGAAGAGGAGAGGGTTGGAGCTGGGGGGGGAAAGGCGGAACAAACCGGTGTGCCTCGGATACATGCTGTAGCTGCTCGCCCGCACTGCAGATTAACTCTTACCGTGCCGGGAGATGCAACGAGAGACGGTGAGTGAATTTTGTTTTTGTTTGTTTGTTTGTTTGTTTGTTTTTCCTGAAAGCTTGCACATTGTTCCGTTTTTTGCACCAGAGCAAGAAATGTAGCGGTGGTTCATCTGGTGCGGACAGGTACACAGTTCATACAGGTATTCAGCATCCTGAGCATCTCCTCTTCTGTCTCTCTCACACACGGAGCAGCTCACACACTCACACATACTTTCGCTTCCTCTGACACACACATTGAATCGCTACACTTGATGTTGTTTAGCGGCTCGTCTCTGGCTGGCTATTCGGGAACTATCCACCGCGCGGGTGCTGAAAGGGGTCGTCATTTGCAGGCAGCTGCAATTCACTGCAATGCCATGTCTGTGGTGAAAGTGTCCTCCTGGTTTTTCTAGTGTCTTGGAACTGATAGTCAAGAAACAGCACTTAAAAGCGTCCTAGCAGAACACCGACTAAGGGCATGGTGATCTTCTCAACCCAAATAAATCTTCCTGCAGGTGTTTCCGTCAGAGACTGACACAACCGTAAGGGTGATGACATCGTCTCCTGTGCACTGTTTAGGGCATATAGAGAACGTTGTCTAAACTCTGTTCACTGGACTGTTATCTGATCACATTTGTGAGAAGACATCACATCAGTCCTGAAAGTTCTTCCTTCCTCAGCTATCATTAATTAATAATGGATGAATGGAGCTTCTCTCCTTCAGCTCTTGTCCCGGAGCCTGGCTCTGTGTCTTTGTAGCTGACTGAACTGGCCAAACTCTAGCTGGATGTTGTAGTAGCCAAGAAATCTGGGATTCCCTCTCTAAACACTGGTAGCATTGCCCAACTGAGGAGTATAATCTGTCTGACTGGACCAGTGCCAGTGGCTCGCAGACGGCAGTGCAGCTTCCAGCTGAGCTCCCGAAATGGGTGTTCTACCCCTTTAAATTTAAATTATGCAAACTTTACTTCTTCTCTGATCTTCCATGAGATAGTCTTTGAGGGTAAAAATAAATCTTGACTGTCATGAGGCAGTTGAGAAAATAGTTTAAAGTAAATGTTTCATACCTCACGAGAGACATCTTCTTCTCTATTTCAGATATAGAACCAGTGATCTCAGCATTAACCTGTGCAACCTTGAATATTATACTCTGCTGTAATTTCAAAAGAATCATCTTCTTGTGATCCTTCTCACTGCTAAGCATGTGCTTTAAAGCTGGCAGCTAATTGTCCCTTTTACCCACAAAACCACATTCTCAAGGTTGTCCTCATCAAGATATTAGGTTACATTTTGAGCCTCAAATTGAGCGCTTTAAAAAAAGATTTCATATATGAAGGGAAAATGCAGGAGCAAGTGGGATTGTTGATGGAAAGTGGTGATGTATTCAAACTCCGCATGAAGGGAATTTGTAAGAGCTTCCTGTGAAATGACCAAGCAAGTTTAAAGCATTTCCATAGTTACAGCCCTGACCATGCATGCATTCAATCTCAAATAGCCACTCTCAGATGCACACGATAAGCCACACATGATAACCCCCTGATGTCACTGACAAGTGTCGGGGTTCATCTGACATCCTTGTGTGAACATGTTGTTCCAGAGAGTCCAGAGAGGAGCGGGGTGAAATTTGAAACAGACTCAGTCCCCAAGATATCAGGCCTTTAATGTATTAACACAAATAGACGCTTCATCAAAGTATGCTTTAAACAGTTTAAAATTAAAATAGTCCTCCGAGTATAAACTTGCCCTTTAGTGTCCTTGCTTGATCAAAGACAAAAATCCTCCTCACACTTCACTGGTCAGAGAGGGAGGATTAGAAATCCCTGGCCACATGACTGCATTAAAGAGGACGATGGATGGGAACAGAGAGCCTTCTGGAAGAAGGTGTGAAGCAGTATCAATCAGACTGTTGCTCTTTTAAATTACGCTAATATGCTATTGTACATTCAATGACAACTTGCACCTCGGTGTACCTTTATAGAAATGAACACACTACACTGCCCTTAACTTGTTGTCTGTCTTTCAGGAAAGGACTGGTCACTGAGTCTCCTTTCCCAAGCTCATGTAACAACTCTCCCTGGGGTTTGCAAGAACACATCCCTAAACTCAGCTCATTTCTCAACCTGCAGCACAGGGTCTGCAGACTGAGGCCAGACGCTGTAGAGACACACAAACATGGGGATGCACAACGGAGAGGCTGAGTGAGCAGTGCACATTATGTCTGTTTGTCTGCAACAGAAGAGCTGCATGAAACGGTAGAAGAGTCTGAGACCTGAAGAACACAGGCCACACAGTATGACCCACTACTTTTCCACACAAGGTGACAGGGGCTGAAGCTGGCCACACATTCCTGCGCACGTGTGGCACGTGTGGCTTCTAGCATTGTTTTGACGAGTATCTAACTTCATCAGGGAGTGTCTAGTCTCCCCTCTTGCCCAGAGGGGGGTTGTTGTGTGCATCATTTTTGTTCCGGATGCAGAACATCCTCGATCAAAACTTGGACATGGCTACAGCTCTACTTGCAGGCGAGAAGCTGAAGGAGCTGATCTTGCCGGGTTCCTCTCAGGATGAGAAGGGCGGGGCACTGGCTGGCCTCATGGTGCAAATCAAACTGGAGCTTCCTTTTGATCGCGTTGTTACTATAGGGACGGTCATCATCCCCATCCTGCTAGTCACCCTGGTCTTCACAAGGAACTTTGCAGGTGAGCTGCTAGAGGGGGGTTCATTGCTAAAGCCACACCTGCAGCTGTTTGCCCTCTGACCGCTTTTGATCAGAGAAAGGTTTTGGCTGCATACATACAGTAGTAAGAAGTGTAAGCTGGAAACAAGGCATAAAAGAGAAGGGAGCAGTATGGTGCAGAGCAAAAAAGGAAAGCTGAAATACTAGATGCCAGAGAGAGAAGAAAACAGATTGGAGAACTGAGGGAGTGAAAGTGATTACAGATTTAGGAGACAAGGGTGGGTTTGGGTAGAAGACAGAGTGAAAACCCAGAGAGGAATGTCGGTTCATTGCTGAGTCAGGCTCTGTGTAGCATGTAA